CGTTTTGGTCTTGATAGAACAACCTATCTCAAGTCTTATGCCATTGTTCCCCTACATGCGCTGGTTGGCCAAAATCATCGGCAATGCATTCCCTTGGCTGACCACCAAATTGTGATCACCTTAGATGAGCTGAGGGCTGTTGGTTTATCAGATCACATTGGATTTACGATGTATACAAAACACTGTGCAGTTATTAACTTATTTCCCTTTCATTCATGCCCTTGTAAAATTTGTGATTGCTGGCACTGAGTCATATGGCGAGCTATGGGCATCCGAACATGAAACCAACCCAAGTCTTTGGAACAGCGCTGGGCCCTCAAATTCAATCCATTGAACTTGATTCAAAATCAAATTGTATTTTGGTGGGCAATTCAACCGAGTCAATCCATTTGAATTTTTGTACCCCAGTCCTGATAGCTTTGTCGCTGAGACCATGGTCCTACAAGCTCCGGAAAAAGATCACCAAGGCTGTCAGGAGGAGGGTTCAGAAATCCAAGAAGATGGTTCGAAAGTACATCGACAAGCAGGGACGTCAAAGAGTGTGCTAGCCTTAAACCAATTTTTGCCATCCTCGTGGCTTTCTTTAGTCCAGATACATATAGGGCCAATTATCAATCTGTTGTCAACCAGAATCGGCCACGGAAAAGATACGAAATTGTCCCGCCCAGGTGTGGAAACACTCGGCAGCTCAAAAGGTCGCAGGTATATCCTATTGGGTATGGGCGTGCCATCCGATCTCTTCACATGGCTTGGAAGGAAACTTTGTTAGTGAATTTCTTGAAGTTTGGTGGGCCTTCCGAATCTTTGGATTTACCAGGACATGCAATCCATTCGTGAAAGTAACTAACATGGTCATGCCAAGGGCTTTGCAATCACATCAAATGCCAAAAGGTTCCCAAATCCAATGTGTGAATTACCACATGACTGGGGTGCAACAGAAAAAACTTTTCCCTTCAATGGGGGTTCCCAATTTCAGGGAAGTTCCGATCCCTCATGCTTGACCTTGTTAGGAAAAAAATGTGGAGTCAAAATCATCCATTTGGGAACTTCTATCAGTTCTGAAACCCTGATTCCAAGGAAACGTCATATATCATTTGAATCATCATGAATACATTTTCCAGTCCAAACACCCCGCCCAAAGTCCTGCGCTCCAAGGAGAGGCCTGGCAACTTGAAGGCCTTCTGCGAAATTCTCTATCCACCTCAGGGTGGATTGAACGAGGTGCTGGTGCAGAAAGCCACCAAGGCTCTTATGGGGGTCAGGTAACCGAGTGTGTGGTCATGTGGGTATGTCTCAAAATGAGGTTGCCTTCTTGGGACCCAAAATGTCACTTTAAAGGAAACAATAATGACTTTATAAGCTGAAGAGAAAAGGCCACCTCATTTTGAGACATTGCCATGAGTCCCCATGTATGCAGTTCTACCAACTGTGTTTTAGTTGGTTGGGAGGCACCATTTCGTTGGCGACACGCCTGCCTTAGTGAGTTGCAGGATTTTTTGATCAGCGAAAAAAAAGCTGGTCGGTATCACCCGGTTATTAGTGGAGGCCTGGATTATAATTAAACAGGATGGATCAACCCCGTTCTTCATGCCAAAACGGCGCCATGGCCAAAATTAGATGCCAAATTAGCCCGATGGATGCTACCCTAGGATGCCCTGGAGTCCAAGCGCATTGTTTTTGGAATCCCATTTCCTGTTGATAGCAAAATTTTGAAAATTTGAATTTTAACTATACTATTAGCTGGATATCTGCTTTTGTTTGGGCAACCTGGGGTAGGTGCAAGGCTTGATCTCATACGATGGGTGAAATACATCGACATTTGAATGTGAGCTCCCATTGTAATGATTCTCAAACAGAACATGTCGTAACTGATCATCTTGAAATATTTTGGACAACCATGCTACCGTGAATCAAGCGTGAATAAGCGTGAAAATACCGTGAACGGACGTTATTATCCGTGAAAGGACGTTATTATCCGTGAAAGGCCAAACCCCAAAAATCATCAAAAAAACATGATTTTGTGTTAAAAGATTGATGGTTCAGGGTGATCAATGATTTGGTACATCTATAGCAGCATTTGCAGGCTCTGGGGCCATTTGGGGCCGGTTTGGTAGGTTCTTTTGTGAGCAACCATGGCAGATTACGTAGCAGACGTTTTAGCAAGGGCTGCCCGGAGGGCTCAAGAGGCAGCCCTTCGGGACGCATGTGAGTCAAGTGATGATGGTGACCAAACTACTGAGAGGAGACCCGAGATTGCCTGGGTTGGTGTGGAGCAACTCAGCATCCCCAAATTGTAATCGGTCCATCTTGTCAGAACGAATCGAAAACATATAGTTTCTAGATAGATCGATCGATCATGAATGCTGAAAAAAACCATAGCAGCCATAGTTGAACGAGCATAGTTTTGGTTTTAATCCATGTATTTGCCAGGACTCAAATGCCAAAGGGCAAAGGAAGTCTGAAGAGGAAAGAACTTCAGCACATGGACTCGCACGATGCAGGCTCTGCAGGGCACCGGTCCACCCTGCCAGCTCGCAACCAAGTGGCATAGTGGGCCATGCCAAAATCAGGTTGAACCGCCAACATCTCAGCCTGATGTGGGCTGATCAGCTGGTGTCATGCACCCTGTGGCACCAAAACATCTAATCTGGGGATTATATGCATTTTCAAGGTTGTAATGATAATATATGATATATAGTAAATCAATATAAATCGCATTGCAATTCTCAAGTCTTAAAGCATCTTAATTTGATCTCCCAGATTTAAGATTTAGTTCAGGATGTCTTCAAAACAATTCAAATCAGTAGGGGCCGGTCTATATTGGAAACCAACCTAGGCCATCATGTATATGATCTAGATCTACTATATATAAGTTTATATTTTACAACTGAGCCCTCGGCCCTTTGTCACTTTAAAAGAGTGGTCATTTGATATTTTTTTTAAATTTATACAATATTTTATGCCAGTGGTCCATCCGCTCACTGCCAGATTCGCTAGCATCGACTGTGCCAGCGACACCTTCAGAAGTGGAGAAAGCGATCAAGGAAGGGCAGCAAGCATTGGCAGCAATGCAGCCCAAAGTCAACCCGCCGCCACCTTCCAAGTCGGCCAAACCCAGGCTAACCAGAGAGATACAGAGCAAAGAGGTTCTGGAGGATGCCAAGCCCCAGCCCGAGTCAACACCGCCACCAAGAACAGCTGTCAAGGCAAAGGCTGCAAAGCCTGCAAAGCCACCTTCAGTGGAAGCGAAGCTTGAGAGAACCTTGACACCTGACACTTCCAAGGCTGTACAGGAGTGCCTGACTAGGGCTTCAACTGCAGAGCTCTTGTCCAGCAAGGGGACCCCAAGCACTGAGACCCCAAAGACAACCCCGAGTCCTTCAACTCGCAGCAGTTCCAAGAGCGTTCAGCCTGCTCCCTCTCCGCCTGATCCCTCTCCACCGCCCAGTGATGATGATGATGATGAGAGTGATGATGATGAGGAGACGCGGCGTCAGAGGGAGGAGGAAGCTAGAAGGATTCAAGCGAAGAAGGCGGCACACGCGCGATATATGCGCTTCAGCCGGTCGCTGAAAAGTATCTCGCCACCAACACTTTTTTTAATGTTCTTAATCCATAGAACATGCCAGTGGTAAACCCGTATTTTTGACACAGCATATCGATCAATAGGCCCCACACCGGGTCATGTCTTTGTTGATGAGAGTTCCTTGCTAGTTGTACCACCCGGGCTTTTTTCCAGTGTGACCAGGGACGATGCTTCCATCAAAGCAATTTGTCCTGTTGTTTTGATCAACAATACCAATGGACTGGTGATTAACATAGAAAATTTCAAATATAGAGTAGACCCATTCTTTCCTCCCATCCATATCTTCAGGAACATGAAACTATATATGGACCAGTGGATTTCCTTCATTGATTCGGTCAGTAATATCAAGATCTGTGTGAGTCCACAACACCAGCCAGAAAGCTTCCGGCCGGGCCTGAGGCAAGTCCACTCCGATTGAGGTGCGCCGCGCAGGCCAAAGTGCCTACAGGAGTTCGGATAAGCTGCAAGTGCTTCTTGAGCAGTGGGCCGCATGTGAGGGGCATTGGGCTTATTCCGATTTCATGATCGAATGCAAGAAGAAATCCAAACACCGGTCGTATGGAAGTAGAGTGTGGATGACAAAGTCCGAGATGACAGCCAAGTTTGGAAGTCTTACGGTGGCAGAAACAATAATTGAGAGCAAGGAGAACGATACAGATGCAAGTGTGCATCAGATTCGCCCGCATCCCGATTGTCACGGGAGAGATACACCAGACTCTCACTTCGTTTTGGGATAAGATTTTTTGTTACACAGTGCATCGTTTCCAATAGGATCATTGTAGGATATCTTTTTAGGGAACACCCCCATTATGCATTATTGTCACTTTAGCGTCCCTTGGGGTATTTTATATTAAAAATTATAATATATGGGGTATTTTATAGGGGGATATCTCAAAATAAGGGTGCCCAAGGGTGCCCCAAACCCCTGCATTATAATATATTTAAAAAAAGTTTGGCCCCCCCCTATTTTGAGACATTCTGGATAACTATCGATCGATACCTAGTGGCTAGTGTGTTGTCCAGCTCAATGCCTTTTCCTCGCATTCTAAGGAGACCCGCCAATACCTTATCTGGGATAAGGAGGGCACCGAAGACAGCGAGGATGTGACTTGCGCTGAACTTTTCCGCGCAGCAGAACAGGATGGCAGTGACAAGGGGGCTTCCACCAAAGAAAAGAAGGCAAGGAAGCACCAGAAGAAGAAGGCAAGCGGAAAGAAAGACCACGGACAAAAGAAGAAAAAAAAGTCTTCGAGCTCCTCCGATTCTGAATCGGATTCGGGGTCTGACTCAGATTCTTCAGGAAGCTCTTCCAGTTCCAGCTCAGAGGCTGGAGAACCCACACTATGGATATGTTCTACGTCATTTATATCATATATGGTTAATTTTCATATAATGCCCTCAGGGAAGCTGCGTATTATATCGATATGGTACAATCCATGGATCGAATGATTGTGTTTGATGTTCTTCGCCTAGTCAAGCTACAACATCTCTTGTCATTTTTTTCTCTGCGCGCAGTGCGTGGTTGTCTGCATACATGCATTCAATATCTGTATGTATGCCAGTGCATGTGTGTCCACTCCCCAGCTCCCCATGCAGTGTGCCAGAGGACAAAAAAGGAGGGAAGAAAAAGAAAGGTTCAAAGGCAACTGCAAAGGAGAAGAAGCAGAAGGCAAAGGATGATGACACCAGGGAAAGGAAGAAAACACGAAAAGAAGACAAGGAAAAAGAGCCAAAAGAGGAGACCGAAGATCAAAAACAGAAGCGTGAGGAGAAGGAAGCTGAAACGCAAAGGAAAGCCGAAGAGAAGAAGAAGAACACTGAGTTCAAGAAGGAGCAGCGAAAGGGAAATCAGGCTTAGATTGTTTTGAGCAGCGGGACAAACTGTCAATGGTCTGGCAAGAACTTTTTGGAATGGCCTAGTGCGCAACTGATATCGATTCAATCCCCAGTCTTTGGATGCTCCGGCTTGTGATTTTCCTATTGGTTTGAAATTGCCCAAGAATCAAAAAAACGCCAAAAAGGAACCCCCCCGCCCCCCCCCCCGGGGGGGGGTCCTTTTTGGCACTTTTCCTTTGTGGGTGTCTTTTGTGGGGGGCCAACGGGAAAAAGTGTCTAGCAAAGGTTTTTGTTCATGGCCTAGCTTCCAGGTGCATCATAATAATAATATAATTATAATATAGATCGATGTTTTTGAATTCTATCATACCATCGTCTTGTTTCCCTGCCATCTCCAGTCAAAAGGAAATCTAAAATTATAATTATATCAGTATCATATTTGTTACAATGTATGATCTGAAAATATCACACATCGATAGCATATACCCTGGTATATTCATCCGATGAGGCAGTGACCAAGCTTGGCAACCACATCTCCACTGCGGCCAGCCTGGGTGACAAGCTCAGCACGATGAGCCTTGGCGGAGCAAATTGGGTCGAGTGATCTGGGCTCAATGTGCATCGGGCTGATTTGTATGCATGGTCCTTCTATTATTGTTCAACAATTAGAGGACTGAAATTCCCAGCTATTCAAGAATCTTCATGATCTAGTTTCCTGTGAATTTGCTTTTTAGTATACAAATTCTGGGTTATAACCTGCCATGCCCCTTCATTGTTTTCTTGAATGGCCTTGTGAGTGGTCACATGTTCACCTAGGAGCCAATCAGTGGCAGATGCGATCCTGCTGGAGGTTCAGCCCCACTTGGACAAGCTTCGTGATATCAGATCCAAATTGCAGAAAGCGGTGGATGCGGCCAAGGCCGCTCAAACATATCAACATGTTAAGTTATGTCCCTTAGTACAATTCCTTACTATGGTCGTGCCCTACATCACGATCTCAACCGAAAAGGGTTTTGAGGTTAGCTATATTGTTTAGTTGTAAAATATAAATACAAGACATACAAGATATGTGGGTGTGATCTAGCAAATTCCCATATAGCATAAATTCCCCATATATTTTGCTCTTGCTTGAGGCGGACAATTTGGGAAAGATGCCCACCCTGATCGACGCTGCCAACTCGGCATGCTCAGAGTTCCAAGCGTTTCTTTCAGCCTACAAGATTAAGTAGGTTGATCTGTGTTTCGAAAAGATCGGTCTGGTGTGTTTCTAAACGCATCTTAGGAGCCAGTCTTTCGATGCCAACTGGAAGGGCCAGTGTAGTTTTGCAGCTTTCGTAGGTTGTCCTGAGCCTCAGCTGTTGCGCCAGTGTGTGGTACAAGGATTGTAGTAGAGGATATACCATTATGTGCTACTACTTTTCTGGAAAACTCCTGATGGTTCAACATTTCCGACCACCATGGAAAACATGTTTGGACATTTGACTTGTGTGAGAAGCCACGCTGGGAGTGACTATAGATGAGGCAGGACTTCGGGGATCCGAATCTTTGACCAGCTGTCAAGGGTGAAAAGAATGGGCCAGCCCGTTTCACACATGCATGCACATACGACATATCTTGGATCAACATATTTTGAGCAACATTTTTGGAAAATACCTGGGGTGATATGATTTAATTGTGGTATGAGTGATATGATCACATGCATGGGGGTATGTGAGCTTATTAGCCGATTAGGTCCATCAACGAGACCCCTTTGCCTTTTATCTTTTGTTGTGCGCCCCTCAGCGCAGGTGTGAATACGAATCTTCCAGTCGCATTGGAAGGGCACTACGATGATGTCGCTTCTGGTGCCCTTTGGCAAAAATATGCATGCATGCATCATGAGGTTTTTCGGTTGATTTTGCTTATCTTGAATTTTCATGACATGCCACAGGCAAATCTCCAAGTGGAAACAAAATGGACTTCCCATTATTTGGACGCTGTTTAGGTTCCCCAATCCACTATATTCTCTGCTTTGTTTCCCAAACGCAGCCAAGGCAACCTCGGTGAAGCGTGCGATGCGACGAGTCCGTGATCAAGTTGCAGATCCTGGGCAGGTGGCCATGGGCCATGGCGCGTGCAGGATGTGTTAAGGGTCTGCAGCCGGATGATTTTGAATTAGCATGTTGCTCACTAAAATTTACTATCTTGATTCTTATTGATCAACATGCCAATTCAAAATCCTATAGGAGTCGGGTTCCCACCTATTGGTCCCTATTGATTTCACTACTGTGACAAATGAGGTGCTATCTTCTTACAACTCAGGCATTCAAATGTTTGGCAAAATCGGATCTCTATCATTTGAATTTTAATGGGGTCAAAAAACGATTCAAACATAGTCAAACCAACTTAGATCGATGTTGGGTTTTGACTACAAAATTCCCCCTAATCAAGTTCCAGGTAGAATCATACATGACATGGATAGCCCATGCCGCTTGGCTTAGGAAAGTGGATCGGCTGTTCATCCGGACACAATGAAACTGGGTTCCAAATCTGGAAAAAACGATGCACGGGACTTCTGGAATTTTGCAGACATCCCTGTCGCCCCTTGGATGCTGCTTTGAATAAACCGACCCCTTTTCTGTGTTGATGTGAACTGCAGGGGGCTAGTTTCAAAAGGGGATACCAATTAATATATTATTCAGTTCGCAGGGTTGAAAGACATTTGATCCAGGAAATTGAAACTATTCGCCTTCCTGTTTTCGACAAAAAGTCAGTTGGCAATGCCAAAGTGGAGGTGTTCCCCATCATTCACCCACATCGGATACTAAACTACTTGTTTGACACTGTGGGAGTGGAGGTGGACCCTTGTGATGTGCATTCATATTGGGACCATGCGCGGGCCATGCAAGAACCTTGGGCATGCTGTTCACCTGCTTCAAGAGACCACATGCCCGTCGGGCTCCACGGAGACGCGGCCCGGCTCTGGACGCAAGTCCGGGTGGAAAAGATGGTGGGGATTTTTGTAAATCTTCCACTCTTTAGACCCAAAAGCGTGCGCCACTCTAGGTGGCTTGTCTTTTCCATTGGGAGGGACAAACTCATCAAAAATCGAACATTCAATGTGGTATGGGAACGCTTGGTGTGGTCCCTAAATTGGGCCTTCGAAGGTGTCCACCCACGTTCAGGGCCAGGTGGACGCCCCCTCACAGGTGCTGACCTTGCCCGTGCAGGTATGCCACTGTGCCGCTCCAACATGAGGTTTAGTGTGACCGAGCTCCGTGGCGATTGGGAGTTCCACCGTGACGTGTGGCGCTTTACAGCGTCATGGCAAGGCCAACAGGTCTGTTACCGCTGTGCAGCTGGGACAAAGGGGGATGAGGCCTATCTTTATTACAATGGGGGCCCAACCAGTCGCTGGTTACATGAAGAGTTCTCATTGGAGCAATTTTTAGCCCGCCGATTAAAAGACAAACAACTTTGCACCTCGAACGGATTGGGCTTGATGTATATGATTTTGTATTTTTTCTGTGCGCTTAAGTGATATCATATAGATCGATGAAATATCTCAAATCCACACATGTTGATGACTAAGGTGGGGGGCACACATGTCTGAAGCAATGAATCTTCGAGGTTTGAGTATCTGGCTGTTCCAATCATTATCAACTATGTTTTCCATGGAGAACCCAACATACTATCAATCTTACTCCAATGGGTTTTAAAAGTGTTTTAGACTTTATGGGACAATATTTTTTGTAAGAAATATCATCCGGATATCCCCAAAAGACGTTATCATCTAGATATATCATCAACAGTCCGGGGCTTTTTTTTGCTCAGGTCCGCTCCGACATCTGAAGGGATTTCACCACACCATCATTCGATTCTGTTCCATGCATACCCTCAATCTAGGGCTGCTATATGTGTGCAACGCTGGCGCCCTGAAACTTGCCAAGTCAAAATGCAGAAAAGTTTCTTTTGCCAAGAACGTTGTGATTGTGGGATCATAGTGAAGGTCACATCCAGTCTTCCAGGTCCTGCAGCTCTCGCTTGGCCCAGCCAAGGCTTTTGCTATGTGAGGACTTTGAATACTTTGGTACAGGGACCTTTGCTGAGCAGTTGGATGTGGCCTACCAAGACTTCTTAGCATTTTGCAGGTCTAAGCGCATCCCTCACTCCCAGCCTCCGTTCCTTCCCCGAATGGTTTCATGGCTATGAAGCTAATAAGTTCAAAGATGAAGATTTTAGCAAAATCTGGTTCAGCCGGCCAGTCTTGGGGGTCCAGTGTCTTTTGCCTGTTTTCCCTTACTTCTGATCAGCCCTGGGTGGATTGATGGCTCAGGTGAAAAAGAAGGATGGCAACGAGTTGTTCACTGCGAAGGCATATAACGGAAGAGTGATCTTGAGCTGGCTGAATCACACTCTACTGGGGGTGCTTGCACAGCGCCCGGATCATCAAATTCTCCATTTGACCAGTGCAGCAGTGAATCTAGGATGTTTGAATTCCCTGGGGTGTTGAACTGTTGAACTGGTATTGGGCCTGTTTTTCTCACCAACAGTACAACATTCGGGTGAAATTTAAAAAATGTGTTGGTGAAATTACCCAATGGACTCTTACAATTAATTGTTCTTTTTGTACATCAACCAAATGCCTATGTCAAATTCCCGGTCTTGATTTCCATGCACAATCCCAATCCCTGGCGCTGTCCTCATGAGGAATTCTATGACCAACATCTTCAGCATCAGCGAGAGCCATGGCCGCTTTTTGCGCCGTGGCAGCAATTGGATTACAGTGGTTCTTATTCCAAGGTTGGTCTATGGTTGGTCTACCTATTTATGAAACAGTCATGATGCAGGGTTGGCAATTGCCCCTTTTTTGTGATTTTAACATCACCTTCAAGTATCTGTTGGAGATTATATCCCCAATAGTTGGGTGATATCTAATAATATAAATAGGACATTTTACCAATCCCTGGAATGCTATACAACATTTAATTTATATCATTTATTGACTAGCACATCCTGCCGTGAGAGGTGGCAATTGGCTACTCCAAACCTCAAAAGTACATGTCATGTCGCTAGAATATAAGTACACATTTTGTTGGGTTCGGGATAAATTATACCCTACACATCTTACCCTCTGGTAAATTAACATAGACCCTGAAAATCACATTTTTTTAGAGGAAACTAATCTTTCAACCCCTATCTGGCAGGGTCTATGTTAATTTGCTGGAGGGTACTTGATTGATCTTGGTTGCTAGTCCCATATCCCGGTCAGCTGTCCAAGGCCGGAAAGTGCAGCGCAAGAACTCCATGACAACGGGGTTCGGTTTGTGGACCTCTACAAGGTACTGTGCGTAGAACATATCAGGACTGGGGGACTCTGCTGGCATGCCATGTGCAATATGTTTGCCCTAGGATATCAGAAGCGGTTTTTAGAATGTCTGTTGTTGAAAAGCCCAATCAATCCACACGTGTTGCAGGATGAACAAAAACAGATGGTTGATGCGACCAAAAATTCATGTGACTCAGCAAGCGCTTGATTGTGCTTATTTTATCTTATTTCCCACTCTCGGAGAATAACCTGTCTGAGGTCGGAAATTCACAACATACTATGCTAGCTGGCATGGCATACAAAACTTGTGTTTAAGGGGATATTCCCTTTTGAGGCAAATATTGCATAGCGTGTATAGTACATGTGCAGCACATGTCAGTGGCTTGTGTTTCATCCTGTGTTTGTCTCTCCCACTTGCTGGCCTAGCTTAGGTTCTACTACATCTCAGCAAAGACGTCCTGAAGTACAGTTCCTGGGCATGTGAAAGCGTGGTGAACCATGCGTGCGAATTGTATGTGTGGGCGCGTTGGGGTGCATGTTTACCCACCTGGGTGCTTGGTGTTGTGCTGAGGGGCTAACTATAGAATGTGGCATACATTTGTCGACGAGGATGCGATGCGCTGGCTTAAGTGCATCTTATCTTGGATAAAGTGGATGTGTGATGTGGATGGGGTGGTGGCGGGTGGTGGCCCATCCTAGATGTTTGTTGCTGAGTGCTGGCTGAGGCATTGCAGCCAGAGCACATCCCAAGCGCCGACACATCTGGCTCCTCAAATGCACCAAGCTCAGGCCGGAAGCCTTGTTTGGATAGGCATTGTTTGATCAATGATCAGTATCATCCGGCAGCAATAGTTTAGATTGATTCATTTTGTGTGGGAGGCTTCGCACTATGAAGCACCGTGTGGAACGGAAGAAGACCCTGGTCTTCAATTAATTAATATCTAGCTTTATAGCAGTGGGATGCGTGTTTGGACTACTTTGTTTCCCAGCCTGTGTTTCTGGGGGTTTTAGTGGGCCCCCTTCTCTGCTGTGTTAAGGACAAGAGGTAAAAGAGGTTGAGATCAACTCCAAGCTGTGGTTCGGACATGGTGTGATGTGCAATGTGCGATGCTGCGAGTAAAACATGGCTCTGCGCGGGCCTGTGGTCAGGTATATACTAGAACAATCTAGAACATGTCTAAACAACAGGTTTGGAGTAGCCAATTGCCACCTCTGACGAAAGGACGTTTGAATATGAGTGGAAATGGGCTTTTCAACAAGAGACATTCTAAAAACCGCTTCTGGTATCCTAGGGTATATATATATTAAACAAATTAGACGTTGGTTAAATCTTACGTATGTATACATATATAATATGATATTTTACAAACAACCAGTTATATAAACGTCAAAGTCCTCAAAGTATTCAAAACGTGTATATATATATATATACACACTATTATGCACTATAATAATTTGTAGATAATCGATATTAATAGACACACACACATATATCAATGGGAATTCCAGGATCCTAAATTGCAGGTACTGTACCATATAAGACCATATTTTGTGGGGAAATTCCCTGAAATTAAGGCCTTATATAGGCCTTATACATGGTAGGTACCTGCAATTTAGGATCCTGGAATGGCCATTGAATATATATATATAATTATAAATATACATAATTATAGATATATATATATATATATGGTTGAGTTCTGATAGTCTGATAATTTTCAACCTGACTGAAATGAGGAATTTTGGGTTGGTTCCCCTGAGATCAGCATCATTCACAGTGCTTTTGCCGTCAAGTCATTGTAATTCATTGTAATTAATTCATTGCAATTTCTGAATAGGTACGAATAGCAATATATTGCAGACACCATAGATGTTAGTACCAATGTCAATTGGTTGATATGGCTGCGTGTAATGCCGTCTCTGCCTCTAGCGGGGCGTAGCGAGCTACTGTGATATGGAGGGCAGCAACTGGTCCCTGCCTGGCTACATGTCAGTCTACTCCAAACCACTAGGTCGCTTATCCAGCTGCGAAGTGAATAGCTCTGGCTTCGTGCAACATTCCACGCAGGCGGAACTTTCAATTCCCATAGGATCCATGTAATTATGCTATATATGGTAACATTTCCCATCAATATACCCCAAATGTTAGCATATATATATCAGCACCATGGATCCTATGGGTATTAAAGGCGGCCCTGCGTCACTGGTCAAAACCAGAATGGTGACTCACTCCGCCATAAGGACCGCGCGGTCTGCCAAACTGATGACAAGACTGAACCTAACTGCACCCCTGCGAATGGCACCCTGGCAAGCATCGCAGCACTACATAGACTAGAATACGATCTTTTTAAATGCCCATCCACTCTTTGGTTTGACCCAAAACCTTTTGGTGATACCAATACCAACCTGCCAACCTGGGTTCCTCCCCAAGTCCAAGCTCAAGTTTCAGACCCAAGCACCCGCAACTTGACAGGCAAATCATTTTGTTTGTTTTGGTGTGTTGTTTCATGAGTGTCATGTTTGTTGGTTCCCTCCCCGACTTTTCCAGTTAATGTTTAAACCCGTTCAATCTCGAGCCATACAAAGTGATGCCTCCCAGCCATAAGTTCATTTGTTTAAAAAAAAATCATGACACTATATTCATATAATTTAGCCTGAGGAAAATTCCGACAATTATTCTAACTAGTTATAATTTGTACTTATATATATATATGTATACAATATAGTAATATTTATATAAATATATAATTATGTAAAAATATATATATATATATAGATTATAGATGATTATAGTATATTAACTTATATTAATATTTCAATGGCTGACTATGCAGCATCACTTCGCACGACAAACTCACCGAACCTGGACACCCCTCAGTCCTGGGCCCCCCCACCGAGGTGGGATAGCCCCCCGAATTGGACGGAAATGGCCTGGGTTGCGGGGTCACGATCCGAAACACCGAGGTGGACATCCAAAAACGCCATTCAACTTGGGGGAGTAGGTTGGGTGGATATTGAACCATTAAACAGTGAACATAACAGTGAATAGTGGGAAAACAAAAGGAATATATATATATAACTATTATTATCCCATTTCTTTCTATGGTTCAAAAAAATAAGTAGGTATTATCTGCGTTGGTGAGTCAAACTGTGGGATATCCAACCAAAATTTGGGATTCATATCTGGTTGGTGGTTGACCTACCCCTCTGAAAAATATGAGTTCGTCAGTTGGGGTGATGAAATTCCCAAAATGTTCCAAACCACCAACCAGATTGGGTATACTTCAGCCAACTACAGGGCCACATAGAAACATATATAAACTGCGACAAAGAACCATTTTTCGTGGATTATGTAATTGGATCCAAGACATTCCCTGAAGTTTAGGTCTATATTGAACTCTATTGAACACTATTGTTTTTAAATGATGTTAAATAATAGTCTATGGCCATTTGTCTAGGGATATTTTATGTGATATGAATAACCAACAATGATCCAAATAATCACCAATTAGGTATTAAACGGTATTAAACGATACCCACATTGACATAGTAGTTTGTTTCAACTGCGAACCGTAGCCTTTTTAGTGGGATATGGGTTGTTTGCCTATTTAACTTCAAAAAGACTAACCGTCTAAGCGTCTAGTTGTGTACAGCCCACAACAATGAGGGATGAACTTGTCTACGCGGTTCAGCACGGCCGTAGGCCCTGCAAACCGTACGTCATCGACACGATGCACCAAAGTCACGTTGGTTTTGCTGTGTCTGTAAACGCAGGGATCTTTGATTCCTCAAATGAAATGGAACTCAAGTTTCAGTTTGGTGCACACACTTTTGTGCAAGTTGTCCCGGTAGACAGATCCTGCAGTTCTACCACAATCCACCAGGACAACATAAGATGGAACCCCTCGAAAAAATGTTATTTCCGATGCAAACCGACAACAACAATCTTCCAAAGCCAGATTTTTGAAGTTCACATGTAAACTGCGATCTCTGACCAATAGAATGCAACAATGTTATAGCAAATTGCGAAGTATTGATACATCAGAATGGCTGAACATTAACTTTCAAGTTTTAGCCAGCATTTATTAGGTGTGTCATGTCCTTAAGTCTACCGAGTGAAACTCTTTTTTTTCCTTCTAGCTCTATCACAGTGTCTTTAACCCGAACATTCTAGTGGTTGGTGGTTGCATTCGGCCAGGTTTACATAGTCTTCGAATAATTAATTATAATTTTACCTTACTTTGAGTGATCCCCACCCTGACACACTAGTCTGACATAGTTTCTGACATACCACTTGGACATTTATAAATATATATGGCACATATTCTGACATTCTATCTGACGTTCTTTCTGGCATATATTTTGCCATTCTACCTCACATTCTTTCTGGCATTTATTCTGGCGTTCTATCTGGCATCTATTCTGACATTCTATCTGGCATTCTATCTATAGCATCTATTCTGACATTCTTTCTGGCATTCTATCTGGCATATGTTCTGGCATTCCATCTGGCATTCTGTCTGGCATTTTATCTGACATTCTCTCTGGCATGTGTTCGGGTCCAAGCGTACTCCACTGCATCCGGCTCTCGCGATATGGCTCTGGTCCAGGCGTTTTCCACTGCATCCGACGCTTGCGAGCGTTTGGCACCGAGCTGGCAAAGAAATAGGCAAGGAAAGGATCCGGAAGAATGAAACCGTCCCTGAAGTGAGTAAGTGAGGGATGGAGGGAGTAGGAGTGAATGAGTGAGTGAGTGAGTGAGTGAGTGAGTGAGTGAGTGAGGTAGGGAGGGAGTGAGTGAGTGAGTGAGGCATATCTTTGTTAAAGTCTAGAGACCCTCACCTGGCAGGTGGGGATCAAATTTGAGTGAAAAGCCTATTTGTTACGTTTTTTTCTGAGTTCATTTGTTTTTTCGATCATGTTTCCTCTCTGACATGGAACCTGAAAAATGTGGATGTTTAACGATTTTACTACAAGACATGGCCACACTGATGGCTTCCATGTTGAACCTAAGAAGTAATGGCATTCACCGACAAAACTTGTTGCGAGATATGTCGGCATATCAGGTTGCTACTGTATTCATGAAGTCAAGGAGGGCCACATCTATGCCACTCGGATGGTCAACTCATTTAGTAAGTCGTAAGCTTCGCCTGGTCAAGAAGTCCGCGATTCGTTATCCCATGTATACTTGAGGAAGGCTCCAGCTTCTATCAATCGAATGATCCACGGACCATTATTTTTCAATGTGTGTGTTTCTATATTTATCTATAGTGGTCGAATCCATGTTTTGAATGAACCAATTCCCATGTTCATGGTAAATGTTAGAAACCCTGCATGTGTTTTAAAACTGCTTAGCAAATCTTAGCAACTATTACTATTACCATTGCTGGTTAAATCCATTCTTTTGTTGGCTACATATCCTTTTCAATGGTTACTATAAACTATCCACTAAAATGCTCAACTCCTTCATCATCGGTTGGTTAATGCTCCATTATTCTCAGTTATATATGTGCCCATACCCTTTGTTTCATTAGTATGATTGGGTTCTAACCCGCTCAATTGTGATTGGTTGTATGTATCCCGCTATCTCCCCATTATAGGCCCATGAATGATAGAATGCGAAAATTCTTTGAAAAGGACATGTAAGAGAAGAAAACAAAAGTTACATGCTATGCTGAAGCTCCGTTTTTCACAAATGAACTCTAGCTGGTTGGTCGTTTCAACCCCTCTGAAACATATTAGTCAGTTGGGGTTTTTATTCCCAATATATGGAAAGTCATATAAATTCCATGGTTCCAGTCACCACCAACCAGATCACCATCATATTCCCATTGTTGTTGGTTTATAGCCTATGAAAACCACGATAAAAACCATCACCATTAACCAGGCCGGATATCTCTACCATTAGTTTCCCATGTCTGTACCATGAAGTTCCAATGATCTCATGAACATGATCCAGTCAATGATACCCAGCTGATGCAACCCATGTTTTGGTGGTTGACCTACCACCCTGAAAAATGGAGTGAAAGTCAGATTGGATCATCAAAATTATGTTCCAAACTATTGGGGAAAATAAAATTCATGTTCCAAACCACCAAACCAGAACCCATGTTTTTTTCGGTAGATTTAGCTACAAAACTGGGTGATTTTGTCCGGGCAAATGTTGGGATTCATATTCCAGATATTCCAGCACCATTTTGCTGACCCAGCGATTTCAACCTTATCATACCAAAGTCCACCATTTCTGTTGCTACCCCCAATTTGTTTGTGGTTCAACCTGGCCAATCAGCCAGATACCCTGAAAAAAAACTTAGCTGGTGAATGTAGATAATCCCATGGATACCCTGCAAGACTAGTTAGGATTAGTTTCTACCCATCTAGGATTGACCTAGAAATGGGTTTTCCCATGTTTTCTCAGTTTATAGGTGATTTATATATAGTTTTCCCAGGTATTGATGGGAAATGCCAAATATCTAGAAATGGTTCAATACCCATCCCAACCTATCCCTGTTCCAATCGATCGCCTGAAACCCGCCCGATCGATCTGAGCTCAGGGACGGCATCGGAACTCCTGCGGCTTGGTAGATGCTGGCGTACCTGCAGCAGCATCCTGCGTCCGTTTATGACCGGTGGGGATAGCCAAGTAATAATGAAAACAATATGGGGCTACACCGTTTTCCCTGTTTTCCTGGTTCAAGATTGTTTGTGTGCTGCTTAAGCACTTTTCCTTGAGATGTTTTGGTGTCTATGGTTGTTTCACTTTTTTCCACTCCAAGGATAGTCCAATTTTCATTTCTCTTGTCGGTTAGTTTGTTCAGCTTGTCCCGCCTTGGCAAATGAAAGGCGATTCCAGTTTTCATCTATCCTTCCACACACCTTGTTGCTTGTATCCTACACTTCTTCCATTTGATTGTCAGTTTATCCATGCTTATCCAGTATCTTTAAGCTTTTGGACTCTGGATGCTTGTTTCCAAACTAATCTTGTTTGCGGTCAAAAATACTGATTGCATGTGTGATGTCGCCTTCAAACAGACACATATTGTTTGTTCTTTGCGGGGCACTCATCCATTTTCCTCTGTCAACTATAGATTGGCTTTCATTCGAAATAGTTCAACAAGGTGAATGTCATGGATCAACTTTGGTGATCTAGCAATGAAGATAATATCAGCTAGTCATCAACATTCTACCCTCTGGTAAACGTACAAAAAGCTATTGAACATTGCCATGTAGTTCGTTGATTTACCCATTAAACAAATGTGATTTTCCATAGTTATGTTAGTTTACCAGAGGGTAATGTCATTGTGCCGAATGTCCCCATTGATTGTTCATGTTGAGAAAAACATGAGGAATGTTTGAGGGCTGCGGCCAAAATTTAGTGGGGAAATGAGGTGCTCAAATTTGACCCACGGCTTTGTCGTCCAAGCTCTGGGGATATAGGGTATAGATCTGAATTGACCCAGCTTCGATTGGCAGATTGGTGCTTTGGAAGCAATTTTTTGAGGCCCTCAACATGCCTCTTACAGATCCCTTCCTAAGTGGCTAGATCAAGAGTTGACCACCGGACCACCTTCCGAATTCCTGGCAGAAATGGCCGTGATCTGCCCCTGCCGACCTAACTTCGAATCGCGAGATTTTTTTCAGCACTCCGTTACCGTTTGTTTGCGCAATCTGGACGGCTCGTACTTGGCTTGCATCTCTTCTGAGATGAGCCTAAACTTTGTGGTCTGGCTGGCTGCTTTGCAAGGAATCCACCAGATTAGACTCGGATTTGTTGGCCTTTGCCATTCTTTCTGAGACAAAGCTACAGGATGCTACAGGCCATAACTATGGAAAATCACCATGCTATCAATGGGTAAATCCACTATTTCTATGGGCCATTTTGTTTGGTCAGTTGTGAGGTGAATGGACCAAGGCAGTGACCCAGCCAATTTTTTGCTCGGGAGAATTGTCCTTGTCAGATCTTGTCCACCCAAAACTTGGGGATCATGTTTAAAAAAACAAGTTTTACCCTCTGGTAATTTAACATAGCTATTGAAAATGGCCATAGAAATAGTGAGTTTTCCCAAAAAAAAATGGTCATTTTCCATAGTTGTTTGTACGTTTACCAGAGGGTACCCCATGGCAACGTAAATTTGGGGTATTCTGGCCCTGAACCCGCTGAAGCGGATCGAGTATCCGCTGCAGCTTGTGCTTGTGCTTCGTGGCTGTGTGAAAGTTGGCTTTCGTTCACCCATCGAACTACACTTATGATCACATGTACATACATATACAGTAATCGCCAGAAACCCAGTTACCCAGCTATTCTACCATGCGAGGTATCATACATCAAAAACATTCAAAAACAACATTTAAATCCATGCGATTGCTGGTTGATCTTGATGTTTACTATGTTTACTCACTTGCCAGGGTCATAAGTTATACCAATATTATCTCCCAAACAAAAATCCAATGATACTGATACTCCCATTAACATGGTATTAAACATCATACATCAGTTATTACTGTACTGTATTTATGTCATATGAGTCATATCTTTGATCGTTAAAAACTACGTTTCTTCCCCTGGGGAACCCCTCGCTGCTGCGGAACGAACCGAACCGCCTCTCTTCCAGGGCTTGGATCTCCATCAAGTCCGGCGTCTTGGACGTGGCGTGGATCCACAAGCGGCCTGGAGCGACGACAGTTTTGAAAGGCACGCGGTAAAAAAACGTCGTCGTTTGTTGTTGTTGTTGCTGTTGTTTTTGTGTTTGTTGTTGTTGTTGTTGTTGTTGTTTTAAATAGCCATAGGATCCATGGTGCTGGTATATATGCTAACATAAATGGGGTATATTGATGGGATCCATGGAGCACCATATATAGCAGCACCATGGATCCTATGGGATATAAATGAGAATTGAAGGGGAGAAATGATCAGAATGGCTACAATGATATCTGGTTGGTGGTTTGAACCCCGCTGAAAAATATGAAAGTCAATAAGGATTATCCATGATTATCCCATATATGAAATGGAAAATAAAAGCCATGTTTGAAACCACCAGCTATAATGATATAATGGAAAATGATGGGGAATTCTTTGGGAATGGGGAATCAACGAAATGGCGAGTTTACAGGGGAAAATGATGGGAACATGTATCAAGAATTCATGGGGCTTGAATACCAACGAATCAAAGATTTATTCAGGGTGAATTAATTGGGAATGGTTTCTGGTTGGTGGTTGACCTACCCCTCTGAAAAATGATGGAGTGAAAGTCAGTTGGGATGATGAAATTCCCAATACCCTCTGGTAATTTGTTACATAACTATTGAACATGGCCCAGTCGAAATAGTGGATTTACCCATTGATAGCATAGTGATTTTCCATAGCTATGTTCCAAACCACCAACCAGGCTTACATGATGCTGGGTAAATTATAATATTTCACTAACCTGAATCTTGCGGCCATTTGGGGATCATTTCCCTTACCAACCATGATTCCAGGGTTCGGGAGAACAGTGAGGTCGTTATAATTTATCCAGATGATGGTCATATTCCCACTGTTGTTGGTTTATAGCCTATTAATTAACCACTATTAACCATCACTATTAACCAACCAGGTTTACATGATGGGTATACTGGAACATCCTGGGGGATTGATTGGAAATTCCTAAAGGGAAACCCATCTGGAAACCCATCTGGATTTCACCACGAAAAAACTTGGGTTTTTTTTTCGTTTGGAAAGCCAGGTTTATTTCACCCATTTTGTGGGAAAAAAACATGCGCTTAAAGGAATCGTGTCTTCATGGAGAATCGCCAAAAAGGGAATCCAGATCGGAAATCCAGATTCGGACTGAAACAAAAGGGGTGCCAACCATCAAAGATGGAGATTTGCCCACCAGAAATTGGGTACAATTATGGTAATTCTATGTAATTCTAATATCATTCTTATCATTACCAGTAGTACCGCACAAGGCGGTGGCGGAAGTTTCAAAAATAGGAAACCTATAGGAGAGATTGGTTGTTGTGAATCAGAGATGGCAGAGCGAAGCCACTGCTGGACTGAAAGGCGATTGATCTCTCTCACTCTTGTCTACCTGTCTGTCTATCTATCTATCTACCTATCTATCTATCTATCTATCTGTCTAGCTGTCTACCTGTCTATCTTTGGTGCAGTGTCATTCAGTGTAATGTAGTGTAGTGTAATGTAGTGTAATGTAGTGGAGTGTAGTGGAGTGTAGTTGTACTTGTAGGTGTAGTGTAGTGGAGTGTAGTGTAGAGTAGTGTCGTGAAGTGTAGTGGAAGGTAGTGTAGTGTAGTGTAAGGTAGTGTAGTGTAGTGTACTGTAGTGTAGTGTAGTGGAGTGTAGTTGTGTAGGTGTAGTTGTATTTGTAGTGTAGTGGAGTGTAGTGTCGTGTAATGTAGTGAAGTGTAGTGTAGAGAGTGTAGTGCAGTGTAATTTAGTGTAGTGGAGTGTAGTGGACTGTAGTTGTGTAGTTGTAGTTGTAACCTGTAGTGTTGTGAAGTGTAGTGTAATGTAATGTAATGTAGTGTAGTGCAGCAAAGTGTAGTGTAATGTAGTGTAGTCGAGTTAAGCGAAGCAACATCTGAACCGCCAAAAGTGGTCCGAACATGGTGTGTTTTGTACATTTTGACTTCGAAATGTGCTTCGCGCCACAACGGCGTGCACTTTTTCGAACCTCAACATCTGAGCCTCCAAAAGTGGTCCGAACATGGTGTGTTTTGCACATTTTGACTTGGAAATGTGCTTCGCGCCACGACGGCGTGCACTTTTTTGAAAGTCGACATCTGAGCCTCCAAAAGTGGTCCGAGAATGGTGTGCTTTGTACATTTTCACTTGGAAATGTGCTTCGCGCCACAATGGTGTGCACTTTTTCGACATCGGAACTTCCAAAAGTGGTCCGACATTGGTGTGTTTTGTACATTTTGACTTGGAAATGTGCTTGGTCCGACATTGGTGTGTTTTGTACATTTTGACTTGGAAATGTGCTTCGCGCCACAACGGCGTGCACTTTTTCGATATCTCAACTTCCAAAAGTGGTCCGAACGTGGTGTGTTTTGTACATTTTGACTTGGAAATGTGCTTCGCGCCACAACGGCGTGCACTTTTTCGACATCGCAACTTCCAAAAGTGGTCCGCTCCTCTGGTGTTTCGTCACTTTTCACTTGGAAATGTGCTTCGCGCCACAACGGCGTGCAATTTTTCCTCTCTCATCTGGCCAGCTGGCTCCGCACCCGCCGCTTTAGCGAGCCTACTTTTCGACCCACCGGAGCCACAAATCATTGGAAAAACACAGTGTTTCGCGACTTTCCTACCTTTTCGCGCATCTGCATCTTCCTTCTTCTGATCTTGTCTCTTCTGACTCTTCTCACCTCTGCTTTTCAACTGTCCATATTGTCGGAAGTTTCACTTCTAAACTTCCTTCGATAATGAATATT